TGTGTGTGTGTGTGTGTGTGTGTGTGTGTGTGTGTGTGTGTGTGTGTTTGCATAAAAAGGGAATATCTCTCTCTCCTTCTGAATCACATTTTGTCCTTTTTCTTATAAAATGCTTTCAAACCCTCTAACGGCCGTATTTTAAATTGATATCCAGCACTTCTTCACCCCCATGGTCACTCCCGCTCATGGCTGTGGCCATCGCTCCGGTTCCGGACCATGGTCATATGTGCAGCGTGTGTTCTGCGGGTGTTTCCTCCCTCCCTGTGTACCTGTGATTAATGACAGGCCCCCCCCACCCCGTGTCTGTTACTATTCTGGGACTCTCTCCCTGTTGCTCTGGTGACGAGGCAGGACATCAACCATAGACATACCCAAGCCCATCACGGCACATCCGACTGTAGAAATTGATTTCAATTCTGTGGCCGTATCTATCAGGCATTCTATGGACATATGTTCAAGCATTATGGTAAGGAATTTTAATGAAATATCCTGTGTGTTCCTGGAGGGATAACTATATTTATTTACCAAGTATATGAAGCGCAAACTATCTGGAAAGGTGATTTCATTCGAGTATATCTCACAGAGATACTGACGCTGCAAAACTGACAAACGGGGGTTACAGATTCGATCTGAGTGTCCCCAGTAGGAATCAAAGCAAAGCACAACGAAGTCGTTGTTGTGTCGAGCCTCAGGTTTAATCTCGTATCTGGTTGAAGTTCATTGTCTGCGCTCAGGTGGCACAAAGCAGAAGTGTGTAAGGGATAGTACAAGTGTGTACTATCCCTTACACACTTGTAGAGCTGCAACCATTAATCCATTAGTTGGCCAACAGATATTAGTCCGCAGATACTCTGATAATTGTTCGTCATTCATCACGCAAAAAAACTATTTTCTGGTTCCAGCTTCTTAAATGTAAATATTTGCTCGGAAATTGTAATTTTTAAACCGTCCTCTGATGATTCATAAAGCAAACGGCTAACTGATTGTCTGAAAATAATCGGGGGATTAATAGGTTATGAAAGAAATTGTGTAACACACTTGTGTTCTTTTTATTCCTTTGAATCTGGCCCCCCCCCTGCTCTTCTACCCCCGCTGCATCTTTAGAATAATACTAATTGTAGTAGAGTTTTGTGCATTGGCACTGTTGTGAACTGTACTTTCTTGACACCTCCTTACCTTTCTGTGTTTTAAACACTTTTCCACCGTCCCCCATTCTCCTCCACCAGTGCGCCACATGTGGCAAGCGCTTCCGCCAGCTGCCCCATCTGCAGGACCACGAGCGCATCCACAGCGGCATCCGCCCTTTCTGCTGCTGGATTTGCGGCAAGAGTTTCAGCGTGGCCGCCCGGCTCACCGAGCACGCCCGCACCCACAGCGGGGAGAAGCCGTACCCCTGTCCCCACTGCCCGGCGGCCTTCCGCTCTCGCTCCAACCTGGACAAACACATCCGGCTGCACGGAGACCTGCCCATGGACAGCGCGGAGCAGGCTGCACAGGACGCCGAGGCCGCCCACGTACAGAAGGTGCTTGAGGGGGCCAAGGTGCTGTCCTCTCTGGCCGCCACAGGGGAGATAGATTCTGGCTCGGTGCAGACCATCTACGTGCTGCAGGGGACCGAAGGAGGCGGCGACACGGTCATGATCCCGGCCGATCAGTTCACCGGCATGGACGGCACCTCGCAGGTCGTCATCCTGCCCTCCTCTGTTCTGGGAGCTCAGGGCATTAATGTTCCCACGATCACCATGGACGGAAATGAAATCACCATGGTGGAGACGAACCAGTCGCAATCGCATCACGCCATCGAGTTCATTGTGGAGGAGACCGTATAAATGGAGGATTCAAAAACTATTGTGGAAATGGCAACACGGTAGACTAGTTGAGAATATAGACTGCTCGAGTCAAAAGTTTGATAATTGAAGCATATTGAGTAATTACTTTTTTATAAATATATATATTGTTTGATAGGTTTCTAAGCCAGGTTCTTTTCTTGAGAATAAAATTGGATAACCTGGTTCAAAAAGTTCATAAAAGGTTCATACACGCATGAATGCTCGGGGGAACAGAATGTACCTTTTAAATGAACAAACAGATTGTTAAATTGGCCTTTGATTATATATGTATTTACAGCCCCTATTTATTAGGGGAAGACGAGTGGCGACCCCTGAAATGTCTTCTGCTTTCTTTATAATAAAACGCTTCAGCTTTCACACTTGTGAGCGTCCATCAATTTATAGGGTGCGTGACACGAGGGGCATTACCCCCGTCCCATCAGCTGGGATGGTTTTTACAGGCCCCGCTGTAAATGGTCAATACGGGGTCTTCTACTGCGAAATATACAAACAAGTGAGCGGACAGCTCTGTCACATGCACACTAATGTTACTGAAAGGCAGGACGAAGTAGACACGTGTGTATGGATCAACTCCCATGTTCCGATAATTTACAGAGCATTTATGTTATCGATTGGTTTTGTGCTGTAATTAAATACAATGGTAACAAGGATACGGCGAGATCTATGATGATTTAGCTGAAGTGCAGCATTATGCAGTGGCAAGTAGAGCAATGAAATTATTCAGCACTTGCTGTATAGTTATCAAAAATAATGATCCAATTTGTGTCTAAATGGGAAGGGGCATAATATGATATAAGTTTTGCCAGCTCTGCACTAGACCATTATAGGCTTCCAAAGCACAGTTTATGGCTGTCTCCCACCCAGTGATTGCTGACGGGGGGTTTGAAACCACACACACACACACACACACACACACACACACAGGCAATCTGTCTTAGTTTGTTTTCATGTCATGGAGGAAGAAATGCTGATGATTTCACGGAGTACTGAAATGGGGAAATAGCAGCATTCCTGCAGAGTGTGAGTAGCACATCAGGAAATATAGAGGGCTCCTCGGGAGCAAAACGAAGCCAGAGCCAAGAATCTAGCTGCTATTCAATGCTTCTCTGAGAGAGAGTCAACAGGCAACCAGTCCATAAATACATGCTTTTTTTTTTTTCCTCCTAGAACATCTTGAGCGCTGATATTCTGCTGGAGTGCCGTTTATCATACATGCTGCCAAACATTGAGGCTGAAAACACTCAACAAACACGCAGATGTGTAAGGACGTTGTTGACGCTGGAGGTGAAATCATGAGACTTGTATGCTCTCGGGAAGCAGCCTGCCTGAAGTATAATGGATCTATTTGCTTTACAGAAGTGTATTCTTGACTGTGTTTATGCCTGAGCTCAGACTTAACATTGTGCTCTTGTTTTGTTTTTTTGGGGGGTTCTGGATCGGTGATGAGGACGGATAAACAAAATCTGATTTTTGAAACCAGAAAATCTTGAAGACTATAGTTTAACTTACGACTTTAAGTGTGATTTGTACGTTATATCATGTCGGCAAGGGTAAGGACCTTGGCACCAGTGAGTTTTTATAAAACAATTTCAAGGACACCTTTTGGTAAAAGAACGTCAACCTTCAGTTGACAGGAAATATTTTCAATGTCACTGAAAACTGACGTGGCAAGTGTATAAACTAAACTCTATTTTTCACTTCACTGATGAAAATGCACACAAACCAATGGCAAGTATATGATTCATAATCATGCATGCTCAAAGCTGATATGAATATAAACCTAGGCTTGTACGTGCGATCGTTTCTACAATTGTGTATTTAAATTATTCATGGCATTTATAGGCTGTAGAAGCAGGCGGGCAAAAGAGTTGTTTTTTTAAATCTTTCAATACAACCAAATGTAATGGACGATTATGCAGATTCATGGCCCTAAAACAACCGTCAGAGTTAGGAATGTCCTTGTTACAAATTAAAACAGGAGAAACACGCACACATGCAGTAGCTGCCCTCACCCTGGGCATCCCTTTTGATTCTCACCTCTTTTCATATCATAAACACTAAAAATACCCAAGTGACCCTCAGGAGAGCAATGTGCACATTCAGCTCTCGCGTCAGTAAACTCGCTGACATCACGGTGTCCCGTGCAGGTGGAGGACACCACGAGCTCTGGTGCTGCCTTATGCTGCACCTCCAGGTAGAAGTAGCAGTGACGTTAGAGCGGATGTCAACTGTTCAACATTGCTTAGTGTGGCGTTTAAAAAAACAACAGTATTTGTTATTTGTTATACTAGTATAATATTTCTAGTGTTTTCATGTATGTGACCCTTTATGTTCGATGCAAAAGACGTTTCAACAGTTTATCCATTAGCTTTTAGCTAATGTCCGATATGTTTTAAGTCAAGTAGCGGGCTACTTTTAGCGTTACAGCTATATACAGTATATCATTTACTTTTAGCACTTTCAGCTATATATCATCTACTTTTAGGGCTTTATTTAGCTATACAGTGGGTACGGAAAGTATTCAGACCCCTTTAAATTTTTCACTCTGTTTCATTGCAGCCATTTGCTAAAATCAAAAAATTTCTCATTAATGTACACTCAGCACCCCATCTTGACAGAAAAAACAGAAATGTAGAAATTTTTGCAAATTTATTAAAAAAGAAAAACTGAAATATCACATGGTCATAAGTATTCAGACCCTTTGCTGTGACACTCATATTTAACTCACATGCTGTCCATTTCTTCTGATCCTCCTTGAGATTGTTCTACTCCTTCATTGGAGTCCAGCTGTGTTTAATTAAACTGATTGGACTTGATTAGGAAAGGCACACACCTGTCTATATAAGACCTTACAGCTCACAGTGCATGTCAGAGCAAATGAGAATCATGAGGTCGAAGGAACTGCCCAAGGAGCTCAGAGACAGAATTGTGGCAAGGCACAGATCTGGCCAAGGTTACAAAAGAATTTCTGCAGCACTCAAGGTTCCTAAGAGCACAGTGGCCTCCATAATCCTTAAATGGAAGAAGTTTGGGACGACCAGAACTCTTCCTAGACCTGGCCGTCCAGCCAAACTGAGCAATCGTGGAAGAAGAGCCTTGGTGAGAGAGGTAAAGAAGAACCCAAAGATCACTGTGGCTGAGCTCCAGAGATGCAGTAGGGAGATGGGAGAAAGTTCCACAAAGTCAACTATCACTGCAGCCCTCCACCAGTCGGGGCTTTATGGCAGAGTGGCCCGACGGAAGCCTCTCCTCAGTGCAAGACATATGAAAGCCCGCATAGAGTTTGCCAAAAAACACATGAAGGACTCCCAGACTATGAGAAATAAGATTCTCTGGTCTGATGAGACCAAGATTGAACTATTTGGCGTTAATTCTAAGCGGTATGTGTGGAGAAAACCAGGCACTGCTCATCACCTGCCCAATACAATCCCAACATTGAAACATGGTGGTGGCAGCATCATGCTATGGGGGTGTTTTTCAGCTGCAGGGACAGGACGACTGGTTGCAATTGAAGGAAAGATGAATGCGGCCAAGTACAGAGATATCCTGGAAGAAAACCTCCTCCAGAGTGCTCTGGACCTCAGACCAACAAGACAATGACCCTAAGCACACAGCTAAAATAACAAAGGAGTGGCTTCGGAACAACTCTGTGACCATTCTTGACTGGCCCAGCCAGAGCCCTGACCTAAACCCAATTGAGCATCTCTGGAGAGACCTGAAAATGGCTGTCCACCAACGTTCACCATCCAACCTGACGGAACTGGAGAGGATCTGCAAGGAAGAATGGCAGAGGATCCCCAAATCCAGGTGTGAAAAACTTGTTGCATCATTCCCAAGAAGACTCATGGCTGTACTAGCTCAAAAGGGTGCTTCTACTCAATACTGAGCAAAGGGTCTGAATACTTATGACCATGTGATATTTCAGTTTTTCTTTTTTAATAAATTTGCAAAAATTTCTACATTTCTGTTTTTTTCTGTCAAGATGGGGTGCCGAGTGTACATTAATGAGAAATAAAATGAACTTTTTTGATTTTAGCAAATGGCTGCAATGAAACAGAGTGAAACATTTAAAGGGGTCTGAATACTTTCCGTACCCACTGTATATCCTCTACTGTTAGCGTTTTTTTAGCTATATATATATCCTGGACTTTTAGCGCTTTCTTTCTTTCTGTCTGTCTGTCTGTCTGTCTGGGAGATGAGAGAGAGACAGCTGTTAAATGCATATTTAGAGAAAGGAGGCAGACTAAAACAGAGAGTGACAGCAGACTTTTAGTGGCTGCATTATCAGTACTCTTGACTTCCTGTTAAATGTATATATATTTAAGTCTGAAATATGGGCCTCTAGTACAATGGTCTACACAGTAATGATATAATGATCTGTCTAAAAAGGACACGCTACAAATGTAAGTGCACGATTAGGCTACAATATCCTGGAGGTGTGTTCCAGTAAATCATTGGAAATAAGAACTATAGACCAACAGTAAAAGTCTGTGCAGTCTCCGTAAACCCACTAACCACCCCGGAGATCCTGAAGTCCCTGCAGTGTTGAATTCATGTTTTGATGATGACATTTTTATTGACATCTTGGCAAATTGGAGATCGCTTCTTTGTTTCCAAGGTAACACGATTTAAAATTCGGTTTGCCTTTTTTTCTTGATAGTAATTGTGGTGTTGCCGTTTTTGTCTTTAAAGTGACGTGTGTTGTAATGTCTTCATGTGCTGTATGATCATTCTCAATGGATCGATTGATGCATTTATGCACACGAGTAATTGTTGCCCTTAGCAGTTAGGCCTGATAGAGAGGCAACTGATTTCATCCAGCCCTTAAACAAAGAACTATACGTAACACTGCAATGTACTGTGTTTCTAAGGGACGCAATATTCGTATAACAGCAAAACTATCATCCATTAAAGGTCAAAAATGTTACCAGTGAAAATCACATATCGCGGTAATGCTAAAGGAGAAGGAAAATATCATAAATCACGTTAAGGTCAATGCACCGTGTGTGCAGCGCTACACAATATGTCCCGACGAGAGAAATAATACTGTTTTTATATGAGAGTCAGACATGTTTTATTAGGTTTTATACACTCTCAAAGATGTACAAATAGAACCTCAAAGGACAACAGTGACCTCTGCTCGGGGTGTGTTATATATGTTAGTCAAAAGCATGCATCCAAATAACCTTAGTGGCTCTACTTTACTGTTACTGTTTACTGTCTCTTTTACACATGCAGCCCGGAGACATTGGGATGATTAAGATGCAATGCCATGTGCAACAGCATGAAGCTGTAGATGCACTTTAGCAGAACTGATGTACATTTAAGAATGTTCGGCTGTCTAAAATCACACCATCGACATTTGTTCCATCTATTGTTTATGCCGTTAAATATTAATGTTATCTATTACAGTGATTGATACCATTTGCTCTGCTCTACAAGTGACATTATTAAATTATAACACCGCATCGCAAGACTTTCCATCTTAATTAAAAAACATTTCACTTCTTTATGATAATCCATCTTAAAAAAAATAGAGTCTGAGTTAGGGGGGCGTGCAAAAACATGATGTAGTTCTTTGTATTTGACTAAGTGAGCACACTTATGCAAACTTACTCAGTCGGCTACAGCTGACTTCCCGACTCTATTAACATATCATAGTTATTAATGTATGATTGACCTATTTAAGTAATGGTTTACATTTATCATTCTCTATGCTTTGTGGTTACATATTTATTACTTGCACATGCTTCCTCTGCACCCTCTGTCCTATCCTTTTTTCTTTTTTTATCCATCTCTCCCCTGTTCTGTCTCTCCCTCTCTTCCCCCCCCCTGCGACATAGCCTCTGTCTCTCTCTTTGCTGAGGTGGCTGTACCTGCTGTGACTTTGACAAAGTAGTCTCCACACATGTAGTGGTGTATTTCTCTTTCTCGCTCTCTCTGTGTGTGAATGCATTGCAAGGGTGCACAACAGTGTTTGTGTGCGTACACTGCTTTGCACTATAGCTTCATTTTTAGCTTGCAAAATTGTCTGACTTGATTTGTTTAAACGTGCACATTGAACACACGCAGCGAGCCTCTGTGTGTGTGTGTGTGTGTGAGCATACTGCAGCATACTAGCACCTACGTCCACTGCTGATGTCATACTATATACTCATCTGTTCTGTCCTCCATTACTCCTCACTTTTTTCATTCCTCGCCCCCTTGATCACCTTGTATCTCCCCGTGTGCTCCTCTTCTTTCGCGCTCCATCCTCTCTCCCCTTCACTTCCCACACCCCCCCCCGCTGCTTGTCTCCTCCCTCTCTGTCCCCTCCCTCATGTTCCCCCCCCTCCCTCTCTCATTGATAGTGAAGTATTTGTGACTAGAATGCTGAGGAGCTAATCATTATTCCACGAGCAGAGCGCAGTGCTCGGGCAGAATGTCAATTCTCCCCCCTCCCTCTGTCTTCCTCTCCCTCCCCTCTTCTGCATGCTTTCCAAGCAATAGTTAATACGGGAGCCCCATTTGTGTTCTACAAAGAGAAAAGTAAAGACATTGGTAAACACTGGGCCCCTAACACCTGCAGCGAAGTGTAATGGTTGAGCAAGGTTTACATTTGTGCTGCGGATGGTATTTGGAGTGTATGTGTGCGTGATATGTAGTTGTTATGTAAAAGCGCGCCACATCAATTTGTCAAGAGCAAAGTGGTGTGGGATGGAGATGAGAGAGAGAGACAGCTGTTAAATGCATATTTAGAGAAAGGCGGGAGACTAAAACAGAGAGTGGCAGCAGACTTTTAGTGGCTGCAGTGAGGCCTGAATCTCCAGTAATGTTAAGTTGTATTTCCTGAATTGTTTTTGCATGTTGGATTATCAATTCATAGTTCAAACATGAAAAGACTGAGGTATAATACACAGGCAGTCAATCTCACAGAGCAGTTTCAGTGTCGCCTAGTCGTGCTGAAAACCAAGAGAGGGGTAAATTAGACAACACACACACACTGGGACTGCGGGCCGTGTGTCAGTGGGTGTGATGGAATGGTAGAGACAGCGCATGGAGACTCCTCCTGACTTCCTAAAAACTGCAGCTGTGGGTCACAGCCAGGGGTAAGCTGTGTAGGCAACCCTCACTACCCTAACACACACACACACACACACACACACACACACGTGCACAGAGCCAAATAAAGAATTTTGAATTTGCAAGTCGGACGGATGCAGAAACAGTCATATCCAAATGTCCACACAAACACACACACACTGAAAAAAAGAAGAAGCCATGGCCTAAGGGAACCTCTGGCGTGACATGGCTGCAGTCTAATAGGCCCAAGCATGAGTGAGTAATAGGTGTTCCAGCACTGTCCGCCCACTAGACAAAGACATCTTGAAATGCGAATTATTTTATGAGATGCAAAGTGAATAGGTGAAAACACGATGAAGCATTGGGGGGGCTGTTTGAGACCAAAGCAGAGGAGACAGCTCAGCATTGTCACATACTATATTTGCTTCCCTGTTTGATTAGGGGACAGCTTAGTGGACGAACCAGAGTTGATGCATCCAAAGGCTCAAATCAGAGGGTATTAGTCAATAGGCCTATGGGAGACACAAACAGGCCCTTTCTTTACATCACGTCACTGTGTTTTTTTTTGGTTGGACTGGAGCAATGTGGATTAATTACTAATGTTAATTTAAGATCTAACAGCAATCTTCCAACTGAACATCTCTTCTAAAATCTTAACTTACAAAAATCACTGTAGGCCAACACAGTGTTGTCACAATTATAGAGCCACCTAATGCAGAGAGTGACAAAATCAATGATTCAACACACTGCGGTGAGTTTAATGGCCTCGGAGAACATGAATTGCTACAGGAGCATCGGGGCTGCAAGGTTAAGAAAAAGATCTATATTGAAAAGGCTACTTGGACCGACCAGGGTACCAGAGAGGAGCGAAGGCTTCATAAGGCCAACGTCCCGGTCTCGTTAGGAGGGATGAGACAGCGTGGTGTGATAGAAGCGGCATACGGGAGTTCGGCAGTGACACCATATAGTGCGAGTGGCTTCTCTGGAGACCGCTGTCTGCTTGCAGTGGGCTCACACTGGTGTGGAGTTGTGCCTGATATGAGTGAACATTATAAATAGTGAGGAGGATGTCAGCTCCATTCAAGGGAGTCCCACAATCCACATGAAGTGTCAGGGGGCTCTGGTGAGAGGAGAAAGGATCTTCAGCAATGTGTGAGTGTACAGTATTTGTGTTTGCCCAGTGGTAGAAGAAGTATTTTAATAATTAATTTAAGCGAAAGTAGGAGTACAACTATACAACGTGTACTGACTATGTCCTCACTGTGCAGTAAGGGCCTTTCCAGAGTCGTGCATTATTATTATAAAAGCATTTATGTGTTAACAATTCAAGTGGAGATCATTATTGATATTTTATATACTGTGTCGTATATAAACTGTACAGCTTTATGGTAAATCTATAAAAATGCATTATATTTTTTAAGATGATAACATGGTTTGATTGTGAAATAGTAATCATCACTGGTTCTTGTCATCTCACGACTGTCGGCTGTCCAATACAGACATGAAAACCAACCAAATAGGAAACGATATCTTTCTAAATCTACAAAGCAACTAGTAGCTATTATTGTCAAATAAAGGTTGTAGAATTAAGACATTTTCCCTCTGAAATACAGTATTAAGTAGCATAAAATGAAACTACTCATGTTGGTAAGTACTCAGGGAAGCACGTGGAATACTTCCGAATTGTACAGTACTTGTGTAAATATACAGAGTTACTTTGCACCACTGTGTACGACTGCATACATGTTTGATCTAACCTCTAACTCTGATAGAATTTATGTATGTATGTGTGTGTGTGTTTACGTGTTTACGTGTTTACCTCGACTTTCCCCGCTTGTGTTTGTGCATATAAGTGACATTATGTCAATATGTGCCCCAGTATGTCAGCCCAATTCTGTGTTTACATCTGATTCGGCTGTGTGTGTGTGTAGATATGTGTGTGTGTGTGTGTGTGTGTCAGTGCGTGATGTGTGTCATAGGGTATGAGGCCAGTGGCATGGTGGTGTGATAGTGTTTGTCACCCCGAGCATGTAGCCATGTCAAACTCTGTCAGGGTAGTTTACCCCGGCTAGGGATGTAACACATCCCCCTGATTACTCTCTCTGTTGGCGTGTGTGTGTGTGTGTGTGTGTGTGTGTGTGTGTGTGTGTTTCAGATAGTGTGTGTTTCCTTCATGGCCAGTTTTTTGCCTTTCCCCTTATTTCAAATGCTTATCGATGAGACTGACAGAGAGAAGAGAGAGAGAGAATGGGGAGGGGGGGGGGGGGGTTGATATTCGTCTTTGAGAAAAAATACCTAGGAGAGAGAGAGAGTAGAGGAGTGGGTGCTGGGAAGGAGAAGGGAGGGAGGTGAGAGAGTGGGAGGGTGCAGGGAGAGAGAGAGAGAGAGAGAGAGAGGGAGTGCTGATTAGATTGGAGAAAGCCAAGGGGGTACGGGCATACTATTGAGCAAGGGGGAGAGACAGAGAGGAGAGAGGCAGAAGGGAGGGTGACTAAGTGAATGCAGTTTGCCGTCGCGTGTCACGGAATCACAGCGAAGTCCACGGGCAGGCGGGCGGATTGGACCTGAATCAACAAATGGATACAGGAAAACTGGATGTACACTGCATATGAGGAGACAATCAGGGAGGACGAAGAGTCTGCCTTCACATCCTTTCATCTTTGCATCAGATACTGCTGTGAGGAACCCTCGGGGAGGGAAGGGAAAAATAGCGGACAACTCATTTCTCTCCAACACCCTCGGAAGCCGCGGAGCTGTGAACCAGAATAGAGTCGACTTTGGGACTCGCTGGGATTGAATATATGCTCAGTAAGTATTTGTATAGGCTGCAAATATCTGTGTGTGTGTGTGTGTGTGTGTGTGTGTGTGTGTGTGGATGCCTCTAGCTTGTGCACTGCCTCTGATGGTTTTTTTTTTTTTTATGAAGAAAGAGAAAATAAGAGAGGAAGAAAGGAATGCAAAGGCAGTTGTGCTGCAACGTCTCTTCTATTGTGATCTGCCGTTTGCATCACTGAACAGCTTTTTATTCTTCAAACAACTACCTCAGACTTGACTCTGTGTGTTTGTGCCTTTTCCTCCACAGCGCTGGTGTGTGCGAGTGTGAGCTGATATTAGCCCCATTGGTATTCAGCGGAGGGAGCTCCAGGATCTCGCTGCGCCTTTTCCCCAGGATGGGATCACAGAGCGGGGATTGTGCTCGCCTGTTGAGAGCCCGCTGAAATGAGTGAGTGTCCGTCCTCCTCTTCCCTTTCCCCCCCCCCCCCCTCCTCTCTCTTTCCATTCTCCATCACCTCTCATTTTCTCGTTTCTTGAATCTCTCCGTCTGCTTCCTCGTCTTCAGCGTGCAGTTCTGTTCAGAGCATTTTCACCACTGATGGGTCTTCCCTTCGATTCCTTGTGTTTCTCACCCACTCACGCACTCCAACCCACTCCCCCATCACTCCCCCACCACTCCCCCACCTGTGTCCCCCCGTCCCACCGCCTGTCCTCTGAAAATCCATCAACCCGCCTGTCCAGTTTGATGGATTTGGAAGGAATCTGAATGGCTCACTTCTATTTGTTGCTTCTCCCCCCATTCCCTCTCCGCTGTCCCCTCTCCTCCCGTCTTCAGCTGTGTCTCCCCTCCCCTCCCCCCTCGTCGCCTCAAAACCTCTCTCGGTCTCTTCAAGCTCCTCTCCACATTCTGTTTGAATTCAGACACACCGAAGACGTTTGAGTCTCTTTCCTGACACAATGAATGGAGATGCTGTGTTTGTGTGTGTGAGTGAAAGGATTGCTATTTCTGCGTCTGTCAATCATTTCCACAGCGTTTTCATGTGTGTGCATCTGTGCCACAATGCAGAGAGGGCAGAGGTGTGTGTTCAGCCTCAGTGTGTGGGATCCGTAGAACAAAAGCTTATGAAGTGGATCAATGTGATTAATTGCTGCAAGCATGACAGCTGAGACATGTACATGCACACACACAGAGACACACAGAGACAGACGCTGTCTCTCGCTTGACACGCACCTTCCTCTTTGCACTCCTTGCTGATCTACCTTCTGCACACCAATTCACACCCACCTACGTCTTTTCACACGTGTGACACACACGCATACAGACACTGAGCCCTGACTAACCAGTGAGCGAACACACACACACACACACACGCACACACACACAAACACACGTATGGTCTCATACTAAATGGTCCTTGGAGGATGTAGGTGTCACAGGAGGGTCACATCTATCCACACAGCATTATTGATTGGAGCTGATACACAGAATGGCCTCTAATTTTCCTTTTTCAATGGACCATCATCTGACTAGACTGGATGAAGGAAGGGGTCACTAAACCTGTTTCATGATTTTATTTACTTTCTGTTAAAGAGTCCCTTTAGTCACTTTTATATATTCAACAGATGCAAACTGTTGCATAGTAACAGAAGCGAGACTACCTGTTAGGATTTGTCACCCTGCTGCTATTTTCAGATTTAGCCAATCTTTATATAACAAAAGGCGGTACAATTATGAGGAGATGATAAAAAAAAGAAACTCAACCGTCAGTCTAAGCTGAGGCCAGTATTAGTTTTGCCATCTGTCGTCTCTGCGTGCGTACCTGTCTGCTTGGAACATTGTTAGTCTGAAGGAATGGAGAGGAATTAAAAGCTTAGAATGTTTTGGCACAATAAAAAGGAACACAAATGTGACAACGTGCATCATGGAGATGAACAATTGATCAAAGTGTAAACTAAATCTGATCAGATTTTCAAAAAAGACACTAATCCAAATTTCCATCCATTAAATGCAAGTGAGCACAATCAAATTCCGACGTTATGACAGAGGTCTCAAATGCTGCCTGAAAATCTTCTGTGTTATTTCCAAATCTAAAATCTGTTTGTGTAACAACATGGAAATGAGTTCAGACATCTGCAAGTTATCTTAATGAGGACATTTTTTTTCCATCTTTGCAATTTTATTCTTCTTTTTATTTATATGTAGAATAAAACTTCTCGAACAATTCAGTGCTGCTCGATGACGAATATGAGAGATTCCAATATTTGCATTTGCCCTAAAAGAAATAGTGTGAAAAGTAAAACTCAAAAGCACAAATCCAACAATGTTTACATGATGCCTGTTTCGTGTATTATACCGAAATATCAGCTGACTATACCTGCCTCCCAATTAGTTTGAGATACATAGCGATGCCAGTCACATTTTCAGGTTGAACAAATTCTAACTGACATGTAATTTGCTTGAACGCAAAACACATGTACCCTTCTCATAAAATACACTTTAGAATGTTTCATTCATTCCTGGTGCCTCAGCCGCCTCACTTCAGTGACAAGCTAGCGTAGCTAGAAGGCAGTTAACAAAGTTTGCAAACACCCACAAGCATTTCTCTATCGATGGTGTTGAATCCGAAATGCTTCCTCCAATTACCTCTGCGATGGTGTCATGATTAAACATTCAGCACAGCTCTCATGTCGCTCATTTCCTTTTTTACTCCACCGAAGAGAGCAAAGGCAGTTCGGGGCAGGGCACGCAGTGGATCAGAGGAACAGTTTGTTTTAGGACTGGATTACAAGGCACATCCCATTGCACTTCTGCACCGCAGAATTTCAAATTCGAATACGTCCTCGCAGATCAAATATTTTACGTTTTCCCAAGTTCGTATGCTAGTTTGAATTTCGAATTAAAATTCCAGGCTGTCTTCACCCCTCAAGTGTGACTTCTTGTACCTGACCGATGCTTTGAGCCTGGTCTGCCGTCCTCCAGCTGCCTCATGCACATTTACCAGTCAGAGGTCCTTCCCCGGCTCTCAGTGGGCTCCCATCACATGCATCCTGGATACTGTGGAGTGTGATGGACAGCCAAACTGGAATTATAGAAAAAGACAGGAGAAAATGAGATAATGAAAGCAGGCGAGGTGTAGATATAGGATGGGATATGGGGAGTAGAAGAGAGACGTGACAGATGGGAGTGTTTGAAGATGGGGCTTGTTTGGGAGAGAGTGAAAGGATCAAATCATAGAGTGAGTGGAGAGGAGGAAGGAGCAAACAAGCAGCAAAGTCGGAGGAAGAGTGACAAGGACGGAATAGACAGCAGGACGACAGGCAGGGTGGAGTGTGACGGGGAGGAGAATGACGTACGTGATAAGGCAGAGTGGCATAAATGTCACCATACTAACCTTTCATGCACTCTCACGCTCTCACCCCTCTACTTTGCCTCTCCTCTTTCCTCTCCTTCCAGATCGGAAGCCCTGCAGAGATGGACACCAAATGGGCATCATGGAAGCCAACATACACCCTCCGGCGACAAGCTTTCCACACCTAACCGCCTCCACCATCTCCAGCCATCAGCTCGAACCTTCCCAGCGAGGACTGAACCTGCAGGGTTGAGGCCGGTCAAGCTAGACTGAGATACCAGAAGCTGTCTACAGGAAGCGGAGGAAGGCAGAGGGCGACAGGCCTCGGAGGAGTTGACCTACAACAAACCGATCAACCTGTTGAGCATACGATTGAGCTCCTTGGACTTCATCTGAAATGAAATAGGCTGCAGTGATGCTTGAGCAAAGGTATGAAGCTTTCAGACATGTCTGGATTTATCGCCCGGATATCCTATCAAGATTACGACATTTTCGTTCACACCTCAGAGCTGGGCCACTTTTACAGATTGGCTTGTGGGCAAAAGCGAGTAATTGAAAATCCCCCCTCGAGAGGGTCTCTATTCTGATTTGTTGTGGGGGAGGAGGGATTTCTTTCTCTTTTTTTTAAAGCAACAATCTAAAAAGAAACCCTCCCTTTTATCCCACACTTTCCGATTTTTTTTTTTTTTCTTTTTCACCATCTTTCTCACACATTGCGGAGAAATAAATTATGAAGCAGCGCCATTCTTCTTCATCCTTCCTCGTTGACGGCGAGAGAGGAGGGACAGACTGTCCAGAATAGATAACGAGCAAGGAGACTGGCACCGAGGAGAGGGGACGGTGGAAAAGAGGCAGAAAATAGAAGGAAACAGGTAGAAGGAGACAGAAGAAGAGGTGGCAAGAAAAGAAAAATAGAGAATTAACTAGGATTGTTACAAATCCTCTTGGAGACTCAAAGCCTCTTTCTAATTCGCCCGTGCCTTGTTGGGGGCTAGTTAGCGCGATGGGCAGGGTCAGGATTTACACCAGGGGGGGCACTTGAGCAGGAGAGTCGGGTTATGTCCCCCCTGCACCTTCCTGGTCTGTATCTTAGTGTTTGGCAGGAAGACAGACTGAAATATGGCCTGGTGAACTGACAGCTATACTGACAGACAAGCTCTGAGGCTGGTAAGACAGACGGACAGACAGGAAGACGGGTACACAGCCTATTCCAAGTGTCAGGCAGAGAGCCAGACAGACACCCAGTGCTGGCACAGTAGACAGCTTGCAATTCATTGTCATTCTATGCAGTGTGTGAGGGAGAGACAGAGTGAAGGAAAGAAAGAAAGAAGGGGAACATCCCTGTGTTTGTAGCTTCTGGAGAATCTCACCTCCTCTGCATCCACCTCAGTCAGTACTGTGGCAAGCCCATGCACTAAAAAGAACAGGCCGGGAGTGAGGAGGCTGTTACTAGAAAGGAAATGCGGGTTGGATAGATAGAGGGAGAGAGAGAGAGAGAGAGAGAGAGAGAGAGAGAGAGAGAGAGAGAG